CCCCCCCATCATCCTCCCTATTTACATTAATGCTAAAGTTCAACCACTGCAGTACAATTTCTTAATATTTAATTGATCTTGTTGATAGATTTATTTTGGTTTGGCAAACACCTCATAACAACATATTTCCTCTGTGCTCTGTTGCCATTTTAGTGGAAATTCTGCTGTTTTATGTGGATAGGTGGCAGTCCTTCTGCAGACATCAATGTAACACAGATTATTACTATCAGGCCATTATACTAGATGACACAATGAAGCATGTTCCTTTATACCTCTAACCAACAAGAATAAAAAGGGTAGACTATTACAACAACAGAACAAGAGGTAGTAGGCATCCTTAGTCTCAAGAAACTATGGCAACGTGCTCTGAATAGAGGTCTTGGAACAGCATCCAGTGTGGCTGAGAAGACCAATTTGAGAGTGACAATCCCTTCCACACTGAAGACAAATACAATCTGTCTCCAGTCCAGCTCCCTGATTTTGCTGGTTTCAGGACTGCCTCTTTACCTCAGCCTGCTGGACAAGTGTCTCTTCAAATTGGGAGAGGCCATGATGCACTGCCTGCCTCCATGCTGAATGCTGAGATGTCAGTGTTTCCCATCTGTTGAGGTCCATTCCTAAGGCCTTCAGGTCCCGCTTGCATATATCCTTGTATCGCAGCTGTGGTCTCCCTCTGGGGCACATTCCCTGCACTAATTCTCCATACAGGAGATCTTTTAGAATCCGACCATCAGCCATTCTCATGACATGCCCGAGCCAACATAGATGTCACTGTTTCAGTAATGTATACATGCTAAAAATTCCAGTTCCTTCCAGAACTTTGTCCTGCCAGGTGATGCCAAAAATGTGTCAGAGACAACATATATGAAACGTGTTCAACATCCTCTCCTGCCGTGCACAAAGGGTCCAGGATTCACTGCAGTATAGGAGTGTACTCAGGACACATGCTCTATAGACCTAGATCTTGGCATATGCCGTCAGCTTCTTGTTAGGCCATACTCTCTTTTTGAGTCTAGAGAACATGATAGCTGCTTTGCCAATGTGTTTATCTAGCTTGACATTTAGAGAATGTCAGAGATAGTTAAGCCAAGGTACCTTAAATAATGAACAACCATAAATTCTTGTGTAGAGATTGTAATAGAGGGAGGTGAGTCCACGCCCTGGCCCATGAGTTTTGTTTTCTTCAGGGTGGCCTTGCTAAAGCAATTCATGAGTTGTTGGAGGTCTTCAGCAGAGTGGGCAACAACAGTTGCATCATTGGTGAAGAGGAAGTCCTGCATGCATTTCAGTTGGACTTTGGTCTTCGCTCTCAATCTAGACAGATTAAAGAGCTTTCCATCTGGTCTAGTCCAGAGATAGACACCTTTTGTTGCAGTTCCAAAAGCATGCTTCAGCATGACTGCCAAAAAAAAAAAAAATCCAAACAGAGTAGGCACAAGGACACAGTCCTGTTTCAGTCTGCTTCGAATGTCAAAGGGATCTGATGCTGAGCCATCAAAAACTACAGTGTCCTTCATTTTCTCATAAAAGGACTGATGATGTTAAGGAGTTGAGGTGGACAGCCAATCTTGGGAAGTATTTTAAAAAGGCTGTCCCTGCTAATCAAACCAAAGGCCTTGTAAGATCTATGAAGGTCACAAAGAGTGGCTCTTCTTGTTCCCTACATTTCTCCTGCAACCGTCTGAGGGAAAATACCATGTCAATGGTGAGTCTATTAGCTCGAAATCCACACTGTGATTCTGGATAGACTCTGTCGGCAAGCATCTGAAGCCTCTTCAGCACGACATGGGCAAGCAGCTTCCCTACAACTCTGAGAAGAGAGATGCCACGGTAGTTATTGCAGTCGCCCCTATTGCCTTTGTTCTTATACAATGTGATAATGTTTGCATCCTTCATGTCCTGTGGTACTCCACCTTCCCTCCAGCAAAGACAAAAGATTTTATACAGTTCGGTAGTGATGATCTCTTTACAGCACTGCAACAGGGATGTTATCCTTTCCAGGTGCCTTGCCAGAGGCGAGGGAATCCAACACCGCTTTTATTTCTGCTAAATGTGGTTTGCTATCCAACTCTTCCAAGACAGGCAGGCACTCAATGTTATTTAATGCCTCTTCGGTTACTACATTCTGTCTGGAATATGAGTAGAGCGCTGCACCCAGCGTTCCATCTGCTACACTCGGTTTTGGATGATCACGTCTCTAGCAGTCTTCAAAAAGCAAATTTCTTCTGTATTGGACCTAAAGCCTGCTTGATACCGTAATACTTCTCCTTGATGTTACAGGTACCTGCCTTGAGAGCAGAGCTGTAGCCAATAATCATTAGAACATCTCCTGGCAGTCTGTTGGACTTTGCTACAAGCAACTCAAAGAACCTGCAAGTTGTACTCACTTGGTCTTCTTGCCAAATGTGGACAAGGAGGTGGTGTAAACAGCATTCTTGAAATGTCCCCATCGTTCAGGTGCATTTGCATCAGCCGGGCCTGGAAGAGTTTCCTCAAGCACTTGAACAAATTCCTCCAGTTTTATCTGATCATGAGTTTGTTATGTCAATACGTGGTTTTCCTTTCTTTTTCGTATGATACAATAGGAGGACATACAGCAATATTGTAAGCCTCATAGCACAGTGGTTAAACTGCAGTACTGCAGTTAAAACTCTACTCACAAACTGAGTTTGATCCCAGTGGGCTCAGGTAGCCTGTTTGAGGTTGACTCAGCCTTCCAAGGTGAGTAAACTGAGTACCTAGCTTGCTGTGGGTGGGAGGCGCAATGTGTAGCTTGCATAATTAAATTATATACAGCCTAGAGAGTGCTTTAAGCAGCACACTTTTACTAGTGTTGGACACAGCAGGAATTAATGGAAACCCATGGGCCACAGACAGGTATAGCTGCTTGCCTATCCTTCACTGATGTACAAAATCAGGAAGGTTGCAGCTTGCTTCCTGGTAAGGCCACCATTGAATAATAAACTGAAATGGTTTTGTATGTATGCTGGTAACAAATCCTTTGATATGTTCTTATTTTTGTCCCTGCCATATGTGAATTTGTTGTAGTAAGCTAGAATGTGTATGGGTAGCATTCAAAATGGGACGTGGTGGCGTTGCGGGCTAAAATGGTGTTCTCTAGACCAGTGGTCTCCAACCTTTTCCGAACTGTGGACCGGTTGGTGGGGCAGGTCGTGCGCTTGCAGGTGGGTGTGGCGTGCTTGCACGTACGTGCAGATGGGTGGGGCAAACTCACAGGTGAGTGGGGCGCACTTGTGCGGGTTAGCGTGTCGTGCTTGTGCATGTGCAGATGGGTGTGGCATGCTCACAGGTGAGCGGGGTGCTCTCTCACGCATGTGGAGGTGGGTGGGGCACCCGTGTATGCAGGTGGACAGGCTGTGCGTACGTGGGTGTGCGTGTGAGGAGTGCGCGCGGGGGGGAATCTGTCTCTGCAGGCCGGTCCTGTGAAGGCCACGGACCAGTAATGGGCCACTGGCCAGGGGTTGGGGACCCCTGCTCTAGACTATCAATTTTACATTCATAATCTAGAGATTGATTTGAGCTCCATGTGATAACATCCCTACAGGCAGGCTGTTTTTCTTTGTGTCTTAGCCTGCATGCAAATATTAACTCTACTGTAAAGAATGTGGTGGCGCTGTGGGTTAAACCACAGAAGCCTCTGTGCTGCAAGGTCAGAAGACCTGCAGTCGTAAGATCGAATCCACGCGACAGTGAGCCCCCATCGCTTGTCCCAGCTCCTGTCAACCTAGCGGTTCAAAAGCATGAAAATGCGAGTAAACAGGCTTCACGGTGGGAAGGTAACGGCGTTCCGTGTCTAGTTGCGCTGGCCACATGACCACGGAAGATTGTCTTCGGACAAAACACTAGCTCTATGGGTTGGAAATGGAGATGAGCACTGCCCCCTAGATTTGGACACGACTGGACAAATTGTCAAGGGGGAACTTTACCTTTACCTAATGAAAAACAAAAAGACATTTTCAATGTAGGATGCACTGATACTGTGCTTATAAGTGGACTCAAACCACAGAAAATAAATTAGTTAATGTGCCTCACTTTGCCCTGTGAAAACAACAAAGTGAAAGTCATTTCTTTAACCAATTTTCAGATAATGAAACACTATGAGTTACCGTGCAGATATGCTTCTGTGGATCTCAAGCCACAGTTTTTCCCTTCTTCCACTCCTGGATGAGAAACTGACTGGGTTACAGGGCTTGACAGATTTATTAATATTATTTTTAGTGGTGTTATCTAGGGAGCATTTAAATGGTGTTTGTTGTCTCTCCACAAGCCACAGGTCGATGGAGCACACTTGCTGGAGTACCACATCAGGAAATGGTGTATAAAATGACAGTCTGCATTGCAGAGATAAGTAACTTGTCACTTGCCAAATACAGGGGAAAAATCACTAATGTACAGAAGCCTTCTTTTTTAGTTAATTTGATTTTGTCCAGGTGGAATAAACTGCAGTTAAACAAACGCAAGAGGAGTGCAGAGTTCTTGTATTGGACTACAGCTCCCACAATCCCCCCAGACACATCTCTTCAAAAAACACAAATCGGCACATCTCCAATAAAAGACATCCGAAATCCACTCTTCCTCCCTCTACCCTAAGCTAAGGCGAGGGACGTGGGCCCTGAGGGGACGCCATTCTCGCAGGATAGTTTGTTGTAATTTATGTCCTGATGCAGTTGCCCAGGGACGGAGAGAGGGGAGGCTCAGTGTACGCTTCGGAGTTTTTGTTTTGTAAAGCAAGGTTGGGGAATATGGCGCTCCTCGGACTTTAAGGGACTACAGTTCCTATCATCCCTCACTACTGATTTTGGGGACTATGCACAGCCGATCTCCGCAGTTCACCAACGTCTGGACAGTCGCTGGGGCTCCAGATTCGCGTCACGGAGGAAAAACACAGCGAACGGGTAGGAGGAGCCCAGGAGGACACGTGACGAGCGAACGAAGGCCGGCGAAGCGGAGGAGCGGAACTAAGAAGTCTCGGCTTCCAGACGCTGGAGGTGTTTGGTGAACCGGAAATGTAAACGTGCTTGCCCCGGAAGCAGTTGGGGAGGCTGTGTCTCGGGCGCAGCGAGGGGGCTCGCGGTGGAGGGAGGCTGCGTTAGCTTCTTGCACCATGTTTCTGACGGGAGTCAATTGTGAGTGCAGGCGCGGGGACCTCTTGGGGAAGCCCCTGAGTGCCCTCGGGACCAGGCCGAGCCGAAAGGCATCCATTCCCGGGCCTCTCAGGGACGCAGCGGAGACGCTCATTGAGGGACTTCATCTCCCAAGGGGCATTGCGGGGCCACTGCCGGGACGCCTTTTGGGGTCCCGGGATGGAGGGTTTAGGGGTGTTCTGACCAGTTGTTGCTGGATGCCCCTCACATCCGGAATGGCAGCAGTTGTTTTCACTAAGCAGTGATCCTTTTCATCACCTCCCCCCGCCCCCCGCGCCACTTCTCTTGGCGTGTAATCCTTCTTTTCTGCCAGGACTCTTCTCCATCTTTCTCAGTATTTGCTAATACTGGGAACACCGGAAACATACTTTTTAAAGAAGACTTTTAAAAACCGTTTTAGCACACTGTAATCTTGCTGATTGATATAGTAAATTGCGCTAGTCTAGGCCCATTAAAACAGTAGAGATTTGGTGAATCAACTCCTCCATAAGTTCCATTTGTGGCCCTACACTAATTGCTACTTGCTACACTAAAGTAAGTTGCAATTAGAATGGGGGTATTTGACTCGGTAGAATTTATGAAAGAGTTGACTCACCAAATTGCGACTATTTCAGTGAGCCTACTTTAGATTGACTTACTGCACAACAGGATTTCCACCAATGTGTATTATTTAGCTGGCTTTCTGTACTCTTGTTATAAACAAGACTCCTGGATAGCTCAGTGGTTAAGTATCAAGCGATGAAGCCAGAGATTGGAAGTTCCATTCCTCACTGCTCCTCCTTGACAGGGGCTGTTGACCAAAAACAAACAAACAAACAAACTGCTGGGGATAGAAACCCCACCACCATCATTATCTTAAAATTGCAGAGCTGAAAGGGACCCTATGGATCATTGAGTTCAGCCCCTCTTATGGAACCACAGTAAGAAATGAACTCCCAACCTCTGGCCAGACGCCTAAACCACTGAACTATACATTTATTTAGGAAAATAAATACATGGATTTTTGGTCATTCTTTGCATGATTTTATAAACAATACCTTGTGAGCAATTACACTTCTGTATATCATAACATATAGACCATGTTGATAAAATAACTTATTTTTCTTTTTTTTCTTAAAAACCAGTGGCCAAGGCCAAATCAAAGTAAGTGAAAACTCAACTTCCATTTACTGTTGTGATATGACTACAGTGTGGTGGTATAGTCTTGGTATGCTTGCTGTTCATGGTGACTTTAACTCTTCTGCAGAGGACTGTTCAAATGGGTTTTTAAATTCATGTCCTACTCCTGCATCAAGACTTAATTATGTAAGATTCTATATGAATGTTGTATGTGAAAAATCAGAATCTAGTATTGAGTGGTGAGTGTTGTGTAACGACTCTGCAACAAAATAGCTTATAAGTAATATCACTAAACTAGACTGTACCCAGTTGTACCACTCAGCTAGAATGGAGACTTCTGTGAACAGAAGTGAGGTTTTTTCTCTCTTTCAAGTTTACCCTTCCTTTTGCAGTCTACAGTGGTGTTCTGAAAGAGTCTCTGGGACTGGGAGGAGGAATTCATGTAAATCCTTCCCCTTCCCATACATGGAAGCCTTAGCTGAACAAAGAGTTTTCCATTGGTGATGGGCATACATTTGGATACATTTCATTAACTTGTAAGTCAAGCACTTGATGAAACAAGATATTTAGGGCTAAAAGTGTTGCAGCAAGACACATCATTTGTATGAAATTAATTTCTAGGACTGTAGAGAAGTATAGAGGAACAGACATATGCAGTATCGACATGGTGCTCCAGAGCCAGTGCAATGCATGTTTCTTCCCCAGCAGCCCTCCATACCACTCAGAAACTAATTCTGGAGGGTTCCCAAGTCCTATGAAATAGTGTTTTTTTAGGATATGTGAGGGGTTGCAGGAAGGAGGAATGATCATACTCCCTTCTGGTTTAGTTTGCTGAATTAGCAGATGTGAGCAGATGTACTTAGCTGGGTTATATACATCCTAAAGCTGATTCAGCCTGTAATCCTGACCATAGCTTTAGGATTTGATGTAACCAGATGGAAGACTTACTGTTATTCCAGCTTAATAGCCAAGACACCTTTTTTTGAAGGTAGAGGCTTCATTCTCCCTTAGATGGTATGTTTCTCTTACATGCACATACACACTAACTTCAACATCCCACTCCAGAATGTTGAGGAAGAAATAATGAAACAAGGGTTAAAATAACTACAATTTGCAACTCCTCAGAAAAGTTTGTGATCCCCTTGGGGTTCATGATCCACAAGTTGTGAAACACTGCTTTAAAGCTTGCAATAGGGAATGAAAAAGAAGATGCATTCTTTAGTTTTTTCCAACAATGATGGTAGGTTTTTAAAATTAAGTTGTAAAGCCTTGCCACTATACCTCAAGGGATAAGTGTACTAATAATTTTCTTTTGACATTTTGGTAATGTGCAACATTATCTAAATGAAATAGTGAGTTTCTAAAATAAAATTATTGGCTGATAGTAACACTTAATGTATCTAGTAATTAAATGAGCTATGGTAAAATAGTAAGAATGCTAATAAACAGCACCCAGCATTTTCATTTTGATACTATTTACTATTCTAGATATATTCTTGTGAGGATGTTGAGTGAAGCAGGAACAAACTATTCTTTCAACAGAATAAGACCACGGGTTCATGACAAGCTGGTCCTGGTGAGATATGATCCTTTTGGTAAGAAGCTGGGGGATGTTTTGCAGGGGTTTCCAAGAGCTGATATTTTGTCATAACAAGCTTCCTGAATGTGAATGAAATTGATGTTTAAATTACCACCATACATTTATTCTTATAGTGCTGTGAGTTTTAAGAATAAACATTGGAGGCAAATACGCAGATCTACCAAATACAATATGCTTAGTTACAGGAAAATACCATGGCACAGTACAAAGAAATATGATTAAAGAATGGAGTCAAGATATCTTGCAACCTAACAAATTCTGGTTATCCTGTTTCCCTGAAAATAAGCCCTAACTTGAAAATAAGCCCTAGTAGGATTTTTCAGGGATGCTCGTAATATAAGCCCAATGCCAAAATAAGCCCTAGTTGAGTATAACCCCGCTCTCCACCATTGTGCAGCAATGGGGAAGCACGGTATTTATTATTTAATTTATTTATTCCAATTATATGTTGCCCCATTAGCACCGAAGCACTATTCTGTGTTGTTTACAAAGGATTAAAAAGTTTCATAACATAACATTAAAATGTAACACAAAATGGTAATAATGTGGCAAGAGCATTAAAAAAACACTGGCACCAACAAATGATCACAGAAAAGCAGAGTTGGAGGCAAAATGCTCAACCAGGGTCAGGTTGGAAAGCTGCCCTGAAAATAATTGTTTTCAGTGTTCTCCTAAAAGAGTACAAGAAGGGGACCAGGTATAGCTCCTCCTGGAGCTGGTTGTATAGTCTTGGTGCCACCACAGAGATAGCCCTTCCTCTGAGAGATGATCTTCAGGCTTCTCTCTGTGTGCCTACCCAGAGGAGCCTGGCTTGAGATAATCTGGTTGAGCATATGACGTTGGGACAAGACATTCTGATAGGTAATGTGATCCCAAACCATGAAGGTCTTTATACTTGAGTGTCAAAACCTTGAACCTGATCTGGGACACAATGGGTAACCATTGACGACTGGCCAGAACTGGAGTGATATGATCAAATTTGCTTGCACTGACCACCATTCTGGCCACTGCATTCTGGACCCACTTATAGTCTCCAGGTCAGCCTCAAGGGCAGCCCCACATAAAGAGTGTTGCAGTAGTCAGTCTAGGAGATCACCAGTGCCTGCACCAATGTCCTAGTTTTAGAAGAATATATAAACTAGAATGATGGACTAAATTAACTTGTGAGTGCTATTAAAATCTTAATCTATCCTGCCAAAACATTTTTGATACAAAATACTGGTGTTATATATAGAGTTTTTCTTTCAGATATCAATTATTTTTCTTCTTGCCGTTAGTTTTAAGAAATGGGTGCATCTAACCTTTTTTAATAGAAGCTGTAAAAAGCAGAATTTTATGTTTCATTTATGTAACGCAACAGTTTAGAACAGTAAATAACCTGGTGAGAACAGGTTCTCACCAAGTTATTTACTGGCTGAAGAGCAACAGAGTGATTTTCATTATATGCTGAAATTGGTCTGTCGTCCTTTTTTATAATTTTTATTTTTTATGGTCTCTGCTTACTTCCATGGAGGTGGTCCAAGAGTGTGAAAGACAATCATTCTAAGGCCATTTAGATCTGTTAAATGCTAAAAACTATTTATTATAAGTATCAATATTATGAGAATAGGAGAATATCTGTGTTGCTGGGGCCTTGATATCTAGCACAGCAATTGTCCTGGATGCTACTGTTCCAATAGTTGCCTGTTGCTGTTGATACAGTACACCATAAAAGTGTCCTATGCATTGATTATTGTTTCTCTGTCTGATGTGGGAGGCAAACAATACTCTGTATCTATTACTAGCAATGGTTTAAAGCAGGGGTCTCCAACTCTTAATCTGTGACCTGCCAGCGGTCCGCAGCCTGGGCAGGACCAGGTTGCAGATACAGATCTCGTGCCCCCTGCGGGCGCTCCCCTACGTATGCGCCCTGCACATGTGCACAAGCACATGCCCCGGTGAGTGCAACACCCCCCCCCGAGCAGGACATGTCCCCCGCACAAGCGTGCCACATTCCCCCAACTGGTCTGCTGTTGGGAAGAGGTTGGGGACCATTGGTTTAGAGGATTTCCAGAACTGAACATGAAGCTATGTGTTCCACCATAAATCAAATTAGCTCCTACAGAGCTGATGCTTTGCAGCAGCCACTGTGGGTTTTAGCAGCACCTATAATTGCAGTAGCATATTCTGTTGTTCTTGTGTGAAAACGAACACACATACTGTGTGGCAGTTGGAAGTTCCTTCAATGATACAAAGCCTGTTCACTCATTACATGGTTCAGAGCAGTAAGCTCAGAGAGGAACAAAGAAACCTTTGACTCTCCATTGTCACTTTCTCCATATGAAGAATGGTGTGTTTGAAAAGGAGAAAGGTTTTATTTCTATGTAGGTTTCTATGTGCAAGCAAAGAACCCTGGAAAATTGGGATTCTGTCTTGCATGGAAACTGGTATGTCTGCTCTTCAGATATGTCATCTCCACATGGAGAAAGCAACAATGGAGAAGGGAAGAACTAGTCACTCTTCTGTGAACATATTACTGAGATCCAGGTAACTGACACCTGAATAGGGCTTCTGTCTAATCAAATCTTTATCCATATGAATGGTAAGGGAAGCTAACCTGCCATGCAGATTAAAATTCAAGACATGTTCATTTGCCTTGCCTCTCTTTTCTTGTGCTTGCTCTCAACAGATTAGCAGCATAGGTTTTGAAAGAAAGTATAAATGAGAAGCAGAACAGTGTTAAATACAAGTAAATGATTTTATTTTAAAAATTGGATTTTCAGTATTTAGATCAGCTTTACTTTTGCTGTTAGAGTGCTTTTTATTTAAAGAAAAAGCCTTATGTGATGATGGCTAGAATCTTCTTGCTTAGTTATGTGTAGCTGCAAACAGCATAACTTCTAGCTGGCACTTAATGAGTTTGTAGCTGAGATTCTTGGGGATGCACACAGGCTTGGAGTTTGCTGAAGACTCCCAGGTTAATTGCCAGCTAGAAGTGGTTGAATGGTGCATATGCAATGGGATTTCAGCTGATAGTTTTTATATTAAGTATGTTACAGCTTAAAGATCTTATTAGGAATGGAACAGGAAATTCTATGTTATATACAATACATTATTATAATTTTTAACAAAATCATAAATAGGGTTTTACAATTCTTGGATTAGGCCTCAGTTTTAAAAGATTCCAAAAGTTCTGTACAAATTATTTAGGTTTATCTTTCTATCTCTCCAGATATCCTGGCTAGTATATACACTCAGAAAATTTTGCAGATCTGCTGAGCTGAGAAATAATAGACCCTTCCAGCTCTCACTAAATTTATTATTTGAGCTTTTTTTCCTGTCAACATGCTGTAATAGAAATTTTTAGAAGCCCTATTAAATTCTCTAGTATTGCTTTTAGTAATTTTCTTCAGTGATGCTGATTCCTTTTGAATGGCAATCCTACAGTAGCTATTGTCGTTCTGCAACCGTAGACAAAGTCAAGCCCTTACATCTGTCTGAAAATGTTGATTACTAGGGGAACACTGGAGGTGCAGAATCTGAGCCAAGAAGATTGTGCAAAATGTGGATATAAGTTTTAGCAAAGAGTGAAATTTTGGGGTGGGGAGGGAGAGAAAATTACATCAAATCAAGTTTTCTGTGCATTGATTTAAATATGATTCAAATCAGTCTGATTTCAGCGACTCCACCTTGATGGCAGATTTAGCTAGAAGGAACAGCAAGTCTAAGTACACTTAGTTCATAGAGTTCTGTGTGATAAGAGTTGTAGCCTAAGGTGGTCCCAATGAAAGTAGACCCATTTAATGGTGTGTCAACACTTGTATAAATCCATTGATCCAGTGGTAATCTCAATTGGATTAAAGCCTATGTTATTAATGTAGCTCATATTGGAATTGTAATAGGAGATGAAAAAAATAAAATTATTTTTTCTGCCTCAGCAATTTTAATTTACAGCAAATTTCCCATTCATATCTTTTGTCCATTTCCTGTGGTGATGTTTGATGAAAGATGCTTGTAAACCTCAGTCCACATGTGTTTAAGACTGCAGTCATAATTGCATTATTGTGATATTGTCAAAGGGCAAAATGTCCATAATTGGAGCCACTAATCAGACTGCATTTTATTTATTTAGATCTGTGTAGATTTTATAAGGCCTATTGATAACCTAGTCGTTCTTTTTGATTTCTATTCACAGTTAAACAGCATGTCCTCTTCAAAGAACATAAAAAGATCCGTTCTATATAATGGATTAAAATAACTTAATTCATACGTGAGACATACAGTGGGAAATGCCAACTCAGCAACCCTGTTGTATTCTCAGAAAAGAGAGGAAATGGATTGCAATGACTGTCCTATGTGATTTGAAGACCACTGTCAACAAGAACAATGTGGAAAAAGACCGTTCTTGGTGTTTAGCCATGGACCATCATCACCAACAGCTTACTTAAAACTTGAGTTATTTTTAGAGATCTCAATTAAAATTGAAAAAAACAATTGTCTCTCTGTGTTGCACTTGTCCAGTAATAGTTTCCCATTGCTATAGCATTTAAAACTTCTCATAGATTTTCAGTGGAATAGTTTCCATGGAAGGTGCATGAATAACCAGTTATTAACAGTAAGGGGATACTTCTTAATGACTTCAACTTGATGGGCTTCATTACTGTATATGATATTCAGGAATCCTATGCATGAATTTGTTTGCAGGGAAATCCAACTGTTGAAAGGTTTCATCAAACACCAGAGAGCAGTAATGAATTTTGCTTACAGGAGCCTTTCCAAAAATGAGAAGTACTTAATTACACAATCAGTTAGACTTCTGTTCAGTGGTGTTTGCTGGTTTAATATAACTACTGACAATAGTTCCTGTTTTGACAATTGTATTGTCCAGAAAGAGAAATTTCACAAATTTAAGAAGTTTATTTCTTAGAAAATGTTACTTCACGACTCATTCTTTGAGACATTAAGGCATTATTATAGCATCAAATGCCTACTTTAATTTGTTTACAGGAATGTATGTCATTCACAAATCTTTGGCTAAAGTACAGAAAATAATTTTCTAGATCATGGAGTAATAGCATAGTGAGAAAACCTGTGCATGTTACGTAGAACTCAGGTTAATTCAATTACATTTCTCTAGCAGCCACATACATAGTATTTGTTTAAAAATCATAATTCTCTTACCAAAACAAATAGAATATCAGTGCCTATTTTGAAATGGAAGTGGTACATTTTAGAATAAATCTTGTGGCAGATCCTTTCTGAAAGGAAAGGAAGTCTGTGTTCCTGTTGCTTGGACACTAATGGATGCAATGAAGTTACTCTTCCTCAGCATTTCTTCTAGCGGCAGATGGGGGTAGGAAGCCAGATAGAAAGCCAGTGCTCCCACAAAACTATCACCTGCTCCCTGAAAAAGAGAAACCCAATTACTATTTTATATGTTCTTGGGCACAGTTTGCCTAAAGCAATTTCCTTTCATGAAATCTCAAGATGAACTACTTTGTGTAGTGTATGCAATCGAGTATGTATATGACAAGAATGGTTAACATATAAATACAATCCTACATAAATTGCACAAATATATGAAATTGTATATTACTGTATTTCCCCATCTTAAGAACAGATACCAGTGAATGTTGACAAATGCATGTGTGACATTCATTGGTGAATTTGAACTTTGAAAGTCACACAATTTGCTTCATATTATCAATCTTTGTATGTGAAAGTTGACTATAAAATTCTGCAGCTCTTCAGCATATAACATGAACTATGGGATCTTTATGCCACAAATTGAATGCAGTCTCAGAGCTCCTTATCTGTTGTAGCTTCTAAGAGAGGTCTGAATCCTCTTACATTAGTGCTGCTCTGTACAAAATTAGTTTTCAAGATTCTTTAGGAAAAAGGGAGAACAAATAAGTTTCAGACTTTAACATTACCTTCTACCAGTCATTCTTTGTCTTTGAAGCTGCTTGCACTGCTACACCATGTGATAATATGGTATGCAATCCCTTTTTTGTGCACATGCGGCTATATGATACATAGGGCAAGAAGTTTGCTTTAACATCCAATTTCATCATGGTTCACCTCGGAAGTTCAGGTGTCCTTTTGAACATCTGGAGGTTTTGAAAGGTTATTTGATTCCCTTCTGATCCTTACTGTTTAAACCACTAGGAATGGAGGCATCATATTGACCTGCTTCTGTTGCTGTTAGCTCTCGCTGTAAAAATAATTGCTTGGATTTGCCACTTAAAATGTTTCTGGCTTCTGCCTGCGTTCTAGCACAGGAGGTAGATGTGCAAGATGGTGCCTGTATTTCAATTAACTAAAGCTCAATCCTGTCCCAATGTTGTTACATATATGGAGTTGTCCTAAGAGTCCACAGTCTGTATCAAAACCTTGATCCACAGGGAAATCCTGCAAGCTACTTCAGAACCAGTGATTTGGGGCTTCCAAAATTCCCATCAGCCCTCCCAAAATGTTTCCATTAATGGTGAGATTTGCATTTGGACAACATCTGGAAATCATGTATGTTCCATATTTAGATTTGTCACAGGTTGTAAATATGATGGGTGAGTGTTTTGTTATTCCATGAAATCTTTCTATAATAACCCCTTTAAGGACACTAAAACAAATGGAAATAATCACAGAACCATCTTATCCTCTCTGAAGCTCCTTTCAGTTGGTCCACTCAGAAAGAGAGGATATTCTCTATTGTACAGAATAAAATGCTTTGCCAAAAGTACATTTTGGACTACAAAGATAAGGGCATGATACACATTCCATCCACAATAATATTCAAGCCAACAGTGGCAACTTCTGCCAACCTTCTTTTTCAAGGAGTTATTTCCTCTTAGGGAATAGAAGAGTCATTGCACAGGAATCTAAAAACAATCAGCAGTTAAAAAAATAAAAATAATACAGAGCCAAATTCCAGAAGTGTGAAATCAATGTGCAAGGCAAGTTCTGCTCCAGTGACCTCAATTCTCAATTTAGGCACTCTTCTGCCTTATTGCCCTAATTCTATTTAAAATGATAGCAAATGCTAAAAGGAATAAAATGTAATTAAAGACAGGGGAATGACAATTACTACTAACCGATGTAATGAATTAGTGAGTAAAACCAGAGCTGTTTTACTCATGGAAAATTAGCATTAAGGTGAGAGAAAATCTACAGTACTTACAACAGGGAAGGGGAACTAACAGTACCTAACTACTCACAAGTCTCTTCTCCTTGCACCCCTGTTACAACTAGGTCCCGCCCCTTTTTTAAAGGCTCCAATTGTCTGTTTGCGGATTCTAATTCCTGCACATTGAGGGCAATCTTTTGTATGACTGGGGAAGGTATGTCAGATGGCAGCAGACATGTCTGTAATGCCTGGAAAGGGGCACACATTCCCCATCCTGGGAGCAAATGCCAGGCCAAGGAATATCAGAAATTCTTCAGATTCTTTTAAAAATCAATATTGGAGATACACGGACATAGACATCCATTGTGACTTTGATCTGAGCTGGTGGCAGTATTGGGAAAGTCTCAACCTGTTCTATATGGAAAAACACTTGTAGAGTAGAAAAACATACCATTTTACTAGAGATGGCCTTGAGTGAGTCACATGGTGGAAAAGTCTCTACCCTGGATTAGAATGAGGTTAATTTTATATACTGGCTGAAATCCAGTAGTAAGTTGCAGCTAAAATAGGCCCACTGAATCAGTGGGGGATATGATGATTCCACACCTGTATAAATTCCATTGATTTAATTAACCTACTCTAGTTGTAACTTACAACTGGATTTCAGCTTGCTTATCTATTTATTTATTTACAATATTTTACCCCCACCTTTCTCCATAATAAGGAGGACCCAAGGCAGCTTACGTCTTTAAAAGGCAATATTAAAAGCTAAAAAGGATCAAACAAATACAATGGTTAAAAGACAGCAAACAAAAGCAACACAAAAAATGTATTCAAAGCAGTAGGGCACTCTCATCCATTAAAAAGCTTGCCTGAAGAGAAGGGTCTCTGCCTGCTTGCAGAAGGACAACAAAGATGGGACTAGCCTGACATCTTGTGAGAGGTAGTTCCAAAGTCTTGGGGCAGCAACAGAGAAGGCTCTCTCCCTTGTGCAGATCACCTGTGGGGGTAGTGGGACTGAGAGAAAGGCCTCTCCTGATGAGCTTAACAGCCAGGCAGGCTCATAAAAGGAGACAGAGTCTTTGAGATAGCTTGGGGTGAAGCCATTTAAATTTTAGGTTTAAACCAGCACTTTTTATTGTGCATGAAAATGAACTGGCAGCCAGTGGAGCTGCTGTAATGAGAGTTATGTCATGTAGAGTGAGCCAAGAGTGCAACTAGAGTGGCCCACTGAATCAATGGAACTTATAATATAGGAGTTGACTTACTAGATCCCCACTGATTCAATGGGCCTGCTCTAGTTGTGACTTACTTCTGTGATGATGGTAGTTTGCCCTTCTGAAACAAAATGACAAAGGCCACTTTTTGTGTCAGGCATCAGGGCAACACTAATCTGAGAGTCATCATAAAGGAAAAAAAAAGAGCAAAATTCATTCCAAATTCTACCTCTTGTTCTGTGTCACTCCATGCAAGATTTCCCCCTCTCTTTGCAAAGGCACTTACGTGCTTTGTACTGTATGTAGGATGCAGTTTAGGCTTCACAGTTGGAAGCAATACTACAGTTAAATAATTTCACTTATTTTACGTCCTGCATTTTTAAAAATCCTGCTCATCAGATTATTATTATCTCTCAAAGAAGTTCACATCACTGATTAAACAGGCCCTGCAGTGAAGTTTACAGGCTAGAAGGTGCCAGTGAAAGAAAACAGAAGAGATCAGTTTGTCAAGGCATGGGTAAAATGGTGTGTTGAGCAGGCACACCCTTTCAGGCCCAGCTTGGTGGTGGTCTTGCTCAAACACTAGCTGGTGCCTCTGGTTTGCTGGGCCAATGAATGAGGCCGGAGTGTTGTTCCTCTGAACAGCTGTAGTTACAGTCATCTGGACCCCAGCCTTCTTTCTTCCTAGGATTCAGGAGTGAGATGTGGCTGCTTTCTCTCTAGGCTCAATGGTAGTCCTGGGAAGTAGTAACAGCCACCTCCCAAAACTGCTCAATTCCTTGGTTGATGCATGAAGAGCATGTTTAGACTCCAACCAGCATGATATCTTTAGATGATAAACACTTCTCTTACTTGAGAAAATGTGGTAAGCCAGCCCTAATATGGTCTTTACTGCATGTTATCAACTTTAGTTCTTAATAGTCTTTATCTATTGTCATTAATAATTAATTGCAATTATTATCACTTCGTTTGCTCCCCACTGTTTGAGGAGAATAAGATAGATTTTAAAAATGGCTTCAAAGGAGGCTGCAAAGAAAATGTAAAACCCAAAGGCCTCTTCAATAATACAGTTTGAAGTAATATTGTTGTACTACTAAGAGAGGTCCTGGAGGTCTGTTCCGAAGCCCTTCTCTGAATATATTATAGATTGAAAGTTAAATTAACACAAGGCTGTTTGCATGGTATAGTTCTAAAGGATTGCAAAATCACAGAATTCAGCCTCCTGATTTTTGCCTTTCCAGTGCTTATAAGGCCTTGAAGATGTGCTTAACGACAATGCCCACAAACTCAGACACCTGAGGGTCGTACAGATTTGTGGTGGAGCTTTAGCATTTTACATAGCTCTTGTCAACCTATATCAAAATAAGACACCCAAAAGGATGCACATTTCAACAGTCTCCTTTTCCATGGCTCCAAGGCTGATGGAAATATACTTATATCTCAATCCTGATCTTGTAAAAATATGTAATATTCATTAATCTTTTGATTTATTCAAGACCAGTAAATTATCTGGAAACAGTATCTTTCTAATTTATTTGTCATGATACTGAAGCCAAAGTGCTTTAAGATGCATTTATTTCAGGTGAGTCCTCAAAAATAAGTACAGTGGGGTCTTGACTTGCGAACTGCCCGAGGTACGAACTTTTGGAGTTACGTACTTCTCCATCCGCAAAAATCTATTTTGACTTGCGGACGGAGAATTGAGGTACGTACTGTACCAAAAAGTAAAAAAAAAAGGCGGGAAAGCACCCGGAGCCGGGTGGCCGAGAGGCAGAGAGAGGCGGCGGCGCTGCTCCTGCTCCGGGATTGGGGCGCCTCGCGGCGTTCTGGCCGTCAGA